CTCAAATCCAGGAGATGCTTGTGGTCCACAGTTCAGATAGATGTCCCCAGTCATCTTCAGTGTTCCAGCTGTTCCTAGAGAATGATGGGATATGGACAGACCAACTCCAAGTTCTTTGTGTTTCTTATTCCTTCCTATGAAGGCATTTGGTTATTCTAGTGTGTAGCCAGCATATCTGTGTTACTTATACCTACAATACACACATCTACATGTATGTATATATATATATGCATTTTATACAGGTATAAAATACTTTTTTGTTAAGTTCATAGGACAAATGTGTTGTCTCAGCCCTGTAGATTTAGAGATCAGTCAAAGATGATCCTTGTCAGAGCTCTAAAATATGATAGAGGTCCTGGGACATAATTCAGTGGTAGAGTGCTCACCCAACATGTTCCTGAGTCCAATTTCCAGCATCATACACAGACATAGTCAGTCAGTCAGACAGACAGACAGACAGACAGACACTCACACACACACACACACACACACACACACACACACACTAGAGGAGATTCAGAATACTCACAACCACCTTTAATCCAGAAGACAGTGAATACTCCTAGGAGAGAGAAGCAGCTGCAACAGTTCACGGGTCTAAGAAAGGAAGAGCTAACGTGGAGTGAGGATGACACACAAGATGGCCCTGCCTTGTATAAGACAGACAAGGTCAGCTGCTGCTGCCAGAAGGTGGCCTCATCCTAACGAGGGGACACGTAAACAAGAATTCAGATGTAGGATAGAAAAGAGAAGCATGTTACAGAATGACCAAGGACTTTAAAACAGACAAGGACAACTTGTTCTGGCTCCTGATTTACCACATGTAGTGCTAGCCTTCTTGCTATCAGTGTCCGTAGCTGACACAAGGCTTCACCTGGCAAGTTAAGTCATGTGTGTGCTTGTGTTTTACAGGATTAAATCATATGCACCACCCTGATGATTTCATGTAATCCTGAACACCCTCTGCTTCTAAGGGTGATACATGAATTATCGTCCTCACCCTTCTCTGAGATAAGGTCTCACTGTGTCGCCCTGGTTGGCCTGGAACTCAGTGTACACACAGACCATTCAGTCTTCGAACTTAGAGGAGATGCACCTGCCTCTGGCTCTCAAAGGCTGGCATTAAAGCTGTGTGCTACCAGTCCCAGAAAGTTCCTACCCTCTTAACGCCTCACAGGGAAGATCACATTTTAAGGTGAGTCTTCCTGAAGGAACATTTAAGCATAGCCTTCATGGACCAAGGGATAGCTCCCTCATGCTAAAGCACAGAGACCAGAAGGGACATGGAGGTCAAGAAGTTTGGGGCAAGAAATCTCTAGTGTGGAGAGCTCCTGTCACACACTGTCACAGACTGGATGGATCAAAACAACTCATGGCAGGTGTTCTACTCTCAGAGCCCCAGTAACTACCAGTTGCCTGGCTTGCTTGCTTGCTTCCTTTCTTCCATTTTCCTTCCTTCCTTCCTTCCTTCCTTCCTTCCTTCCTTCCTTCCTTCCTTCCTTCTTCCCTCCCTCTCCCCTCTCTTTCTTTCTTTTTTTGAGACAGGGTTTCTCTGTGCAGCCTTGACTGTCCTGGAACTCACTCTGTAGACCAGGCTGGCCTTGAACTCACAGAGATCCACCTGTCTCTGCTTCTGGAGTGCTGGGATTAAAGACGTGTACCTCCACGCCCATCTCCTATTCCCTTTTAAAACCTAAAATTGTTACTAAGTCCCCAGCATTCTGTGTGACCCTTTCCATGTAGTCTGTCCCCTCTCCTGGTACTCTGCCACCACTCTGCTCTCTGGCCACACAGTAGCCCTTCATTTCCCACGTGAACCATATGCTTTCCTGTTTTGGAGTGCCCACACATGATTTCTGGTGATTCTTCCTCTACAATGCATTCAATTCTCTCTTATCCTTCAACTAAACAAAAAATATTATATGAAGACCCAGCCTGCCACCCAAATCTTCACTGCTAGTAGTTTCTCTACCTGACCTAAAAGCTGAGTTTCTTACAACCACTATGGATGACATGGTGAAGCCCTTAAGATCTTTTCATTTTACTTTATCATTTTTAGTTATTTCATTGTACATCTAAATGGGCTATATATGTCCTTTTCCTTTCTACCTCTTATGTGGCTTCCAGCCCCTAACTCATTCTTTCTGAGATTCAAACTCCTTTGCTTTAGTGGTAAGGTTCAGAGTCCAGTACAAAACAGCTACACTAATTGCTTGTCTCACTGGACGCATTGTGTGCTTGATCCCAATCCAAGAAGGCATTTGGGAGGCAGGTAGAAAGAAAGCCAGAGAGAGAACCCAGTGTCAGCAGAACTGCATAGAGACCACACTGCATGGGATGGATGCTCAGCACAGACTTGTTACTTTGCCTGGAAGTGTGAGAAACTTATTTTTGTTTGTTTGTTCTTAGTTTTCCTTCACAGGAAATTACCTCTCCACACAGTCTGAAAGTCTGGAAGTCAAGTTGGATGTGGGAGCATCGTGTCCTCCAATAGCATACAGCAGTCCGTTCCATGTTGTCACTCCTACGCCGCCTCTCCTTTTTGACATCTGGGCACACGGTGTCCATTTATTAGTGTGAGGATCAAAGCATTCTACTGACTTGAGACAAGAACTCCCATCGCGACCACCAACTGCATAAAGTCTGTAAAACAGAACAGATGGAATGGCAACTAGGAAACAGAGCTGTGGCCAGGCTTACCACAAAAAGGCTATTCCGATGACAGTTCATTGAATTTAAGGTGCCATTGGTGACGCAGCATGTTGAAGTTATGTAACGTTAAGAAAGAAGATAGGCTACCAATTAGAAAAAAGGCTATTCCGATGACAGTTCATTGAATTTAAGGTGCCATTGGTGATGCAGCATGTTGAAGTTATGTAATGTTAAGAAAGAAGATAGGCTACCAATTAGCTGATATCCATCTAAAAACTGATCTCCACTTCTTTGCCCATGAGGCACTTACAACAGTACCACAAAACAAATGGGTCCTGAGGAAATAAGAGCTTAGGCATAAAGAGAAAAATATTTATTAATATTTTCTAAGTTTTTTGTTTTGGATTTTTGAGCAAGGGTCTTGTTTTGCAGTCTTGGCTGGCCTAGAGCTCGCTATGTAGACCAAATTTGCTTCAACTTCAAAGTTGCTTCAAACTTGGAGTTCTGCCTCTTTTTCCGCAGCACCACTCTACCCATCATCTTATTTTTCTTATATCACAATTCTACAAATACCTTTTCAGTCTGTCCTAACCTCCCCTCCTCCCTTTCTCTGTAAGTGTTATCACTGAAGCAAGGAAACAAAGAAATTAATTCAAAACCATCAAGGGATTTATTTTATGGTGGAAGAAAGGATTAAAAAGGTTTGTATTTGTCCTTATATAATTGGGAGCTGTGAGGCTCTGGATAAATCTGTTTATTTACAGCAGGCAAAGGGTAAGCAAGCACCTTTTCTTAAATCCATGCTGAGGTCACCAGTCTACCAGGTTAAGAAAGAAGAGGCACAAAAGTAAAGATCATGCAGTGAAAATGATGGAGAAAATTTTTCAGGGAAGCATTGAGAGGTCATAGCACTTTAATTTTTAAATTTATATATCAAGTTTTCCATTTTTCATATACGTAGATATGCATCTTTTCGTATGTGTGTGTGTGGGCACACAGGTTTGTGGGTGCACATATATGTGCATGTGTGTGCATGTGGAGCCTGAGGTTGATGTCAGGTATCATCCTCCTCCATGGCTCTTCAACCTTATCCACCAAGGCAGGTCTCTCAATCAAACCCAGAGCTTCTGGATATGGCCAGCCTTGCTAGGCCCCTTACTCTGGTGATGCTCTGTCTCTGCCTTTCCAGGGTGGAATGACAGGTGGACTGCAATACCCATCTGGTACTTGCATGGGTTTTAGGGACCCAACTCTTGTCCTCATGCTTATTCAGCAAACACTTTAACTGCAACCATCTTCTCAACCCACTGGAGTACTTTAAAAAGAGCATAAATTTCAAAGGTATTTAAACCACCAGATTGTTGCTGTGCAATTTAATATGGGACATTTTTATAAAATTCATTCACCCCAGATTAGAAATGTGTGGTCCCTACACATTAGAATGAAAGCTCAACTTAGCAACGAGCTATTAGGGCTAGTATGGACAGAAGTTATGAGCACGGTTTCATTAGCTTGCTCCAAGTGCTCCCCTATACAATAATAAATGTGTTTATTGTGACTGAAATAGAACTTCGAATATTTCCTTACTTTCCACTTAGTACTGCCACACCTACTGTGCTCCTGGGGGTGGACATAGTGGCAACAAAATTCCACTGGCGAGCTTGAGGGTCCCATCGCTCCACTGTATTCAGATAGCTCCAGCCATCATGCCCTCCTACTGCATACATGGGACCTTCCAATACAGCCACACCTACAAGCGGACAGGAAAGAAGGAAGGACTTGAGATGTGTTCAAAACTCATATTTTAATTAAGATGTAAGTACAATAAGTCTGGAACATGCAAACACAACCAATCACAAACTTAGGCTATAGCTACTGGTCTTCTACAGGGCTCTTCTGAGGCAGATGGGTTGAAACAGTACTCCAATTCTTTTGCTGAAATTTAGAGACAGTATTTTGGGGTACAAGAGTGGAAAGTTATCTCAAAACCCTGCCAGACTGGCACATACTGCTATTACTAGAACATCCTTCAACACTCAGATGCCTAGGTTTTCCTGTAGCTGTTCATTAACATAGCCTATTGGTGTCACATCAGGGAACAGAGTCACAGCCATTTGTTAATTTATTCAGCAAATACCTCTTAAGTTTCTACTAAGTTATAGGCACTCCATAGAATATAGAGGTAAGGGCCATGCCCTTGTGGGTCAGTACTGTGTTTTAACCAGGATACGGATATGACATTCACATCAGGTACATGCCAGTTTAAACAATGGAGCAATGGAAGCAAGGGCAGAGAGAGCCAGGAAGACCAGCATGATGAGATGACTTGTGAGTAGAAGCAGGAGCGCAATTAGAAGACCACGTACAGGGGAAGAGGTGAGGCACAGTAACAGAGTGTGAAGGACTGAGGGGTGCTTAACGTGGCTGGGGCACCTACGTTGTCTATTTGGCTGAGCGGGTAACTGAAGGGGAGAGGATAGAAGATGAGGGAGTCAGAAAATGCACCTGATCTTATCCCTTATCAGGACTTAAGATTTTATTTTGAATCTGTGAGGAGTGAGTCAAGGATTTCTTGTTTGTGTGTCCTTGTTTTCTGAGACAGGATCTCATTATGTAAACTAGGCTGTTCTCAAGCTAATGATCCTCCTTCCTTTGCTTCCCAAGTGTTGGAATTACAGGTGTGCATCACCACATCTGGGTAAGTAGAAGATCTTGAGGAGGTATGACATGATCATGGCTAAAAACACCTCTGTAATTCAAACCCAGCAGTCATGGCCAAGTCAGATAAAATAGCCATTACTCATGTATGACCCAAAATAACTATTATTTTACTTGTTATGCACACACACACACACACACACACACACACACACGCTTATGTGTGTGTGCACATGCAATATATATTTATATACACATATTTAAGCTTGAACACATTACCAATTTTACATAATATATCCAGTTTTACATATACAAAATATCATTCATCAAGGGCCTAGAAGAAGGGCTCATTTTGTGTAGTCTCTTGAATGTTGGTTCTGAAAATATAGTTTAGCAGTGAAGGCCTTTTTCCAAATTAAATCTTCATGTAATTCCCATACATTAAGAGATTTAAGAATTTCTTCAATAACTTTATCTTGTAAATTCAGATATATAAAATTTATCTACCAGGTGGTGGTGGCACATGCATTTAATTCCAGAACTTGGGAGGCAGAGGCAGGCGGATCTCTGTGAGTTCAAGGTCAGTCTGGTCTACAAAGCTATACAGAGAAACCCTGTCTTGAAAAACCGAAAACAAAACAACAAAATAAAATTTATCTATTAAGCAAATGTAGTTTGGGGAAAACACTGGTGGAGCAATTAACTTCAATGTGCTATAAGGATTTACCCTAAATTAGAATTGTTTCTTTCCCTGTGGTGGTGATGGAATATATACATGAATTATAATGACCTTAGATTTTATGGTTAACCTAATTTTACAGATTTCATTCATTATTAAAAATATATGTTCCATGATGGAGGTGTACCCCTGTTTGATCCCTAGAATGGTGTTTTTCTTTCTTTCTTTTTTTTTGAAAGTTTCTCTGTTTAGCTTTAACTGTCCTGGAATTTGCTCTGTAGACCAGGCTGCCCTCCAACTCACAGAGATCCATCTGCCACTGCTGGAGTACTGGGATTAAAAGCGTGTGCCACTACTGCCAGGTTGGAATAGTGATTTTATTAAAAGGCCTTGTGATGGGATAAAAGCTCATCTTGTGCAATCCCTGGCCCTCTGGTATTTTTCTGAATCTCCCAGCATGCCAATCGATCTCTATTTTCAGCCAGTTTTTAATTTCTGGGTGCTAGCTTTGGGAGCAGCCTTTATCTACATCTGTCTTTTATTTTGACCTATCAGATTCTTTATGGTAGCCATTTCAGACCTTTTCCAAGCTGTGATAAGGTGAGTGTATGGCTGTAGGCTCTGACTTTATGCTTTTTACAGCATTGCCCTGCAGCTCCTCTTGGAAAGAGTCGGGATGCATTGCTTTACTTGGGAGTCTGGGCTTGACAATGGCTTCTTTTGGCTGGTGAGACATCAGTAAACATGATGCAAGCAACGGTGTGAGAATCTGTGCTGGGGATCACTGCTTTTGATACTCAGTGATGCTGCCATGCTAGACATATAGCTGAGACTGTCCTATACCATCCAGCCCACACAGATTGATGAAAACCAACAGAGACCATCCATAGCAGCCAAAGCCAAACTGACCAGGTGAGTCACAAGCCCACAGACTACATTAATAAGTCTCTGCTTTATGCTTCTAGGTTTTAGCGAGATGTGGCCAAATGGGTTTGAAGTTTCAGCACTGGGGAGATTGAGGCAGGAGGATTAGTAATGTAAGGCTAGCCTCAGCTACATAGTGAATTTGAGGCCAGCCTGAACTCTATGAGATCCTGTCTCAAAACAAAACAAAACAAAACAAAACAAAACTACAACAAAAGGCTTCTAAGTTTTGGAGTTGTTTGTTCTGTAGCAAAAACTGGAGATACATATGCACTTCAAACCCCAATTTTATTTCTACATTCCTCCACTCTTATCTAATAATTCTCTTCTTTCCCTAGAGAAAATAGAGTTCCCTAAATTCACTTGTTCTTGTTCATGCACCATCAGTTCCTTCAGGATGAAGAAAGTGCCTTTTTTTTCTTTTCATTTCTGGGTGCTAGTCTGGTGGCAGCCCCTACTCTGGTTCTCCATAGTTCTTAACTGAGTACAGTACAACCTACATGAGCTAAACTCAACTTGCTTTCACCGCTCTTCATCTATCTTTTGTAATGACTGATCAAATTCTTTATTGCAGCTGTTTCAAACCTTATCCAGACTGTGATAAGTTGACAATAGGGCCATAGACTCTTTCTTTTTCACAGTGTGACCCTGCAGACCCCATGAATCTATAGAACAAAGGACATACACTACAGGCAGCATTGTCTGCTCACTGAGTGATCTGATAGAAGGGTGAAAGAGGGGCTAGAGAGTGGTTCAGTAGCTAGGAGCTCTAGCTGTTCTTCTAGAGGACTGGGGTTTAATTCCCAGGACCCATCCGGCAGCTCACAACTGTTTGTAACTCCAGTTCCTGGAGATCTGCCATCCTGTACTGCATAC